GATCTCTTCAATTAAAAACCAGGGCCCTTCTGGCTGGCTTGGAGCCCTGAGCAGGCTCAGAATGGATAAAATAAAGGCAAGGAGGGAGGGAAGAGCCCAGAGCAGCTCCCAGGGGTGGCTACAGGCATGGCTGGCACTGGGAGCCGGTGGACAGTTAGCCACTGATCTGTATTGTCCCACCCTTCACATGAGACTGGAAATAGAATAAAAGTTTTTAAAACACCTCTCATTTACCCCATCTCTGAGTCAGAAAAGGGCTGAATCCAAGAGGAGCCCACACTGGGAGCTAAGCAGCAGAACAACAGCCACAATCCAGGGGCATGGAGCATTCCCTGTGCATCCCAGGGTTTGGCTGGGAGGACAGCAGGGACAGGGACAGGGACAGGGACAGGGACAGGGACAGGGACAGGGACAGGGCCACCCTCCTGCTGTGCCTCTGGGGACTTTCCACTACTCTGTTGGTCACAGCAGGAAATTCAAGGGATGTTTGGTGGCTCCCAGCAGCTGCCTCAAGCTCAGCCTTGCCACTACAGGGGGACTTTTTGTGTTCCACAGGTCCATTTTTGCTTTTCCCAGCCCAAGAGCAGGCCTGGAGTGAGGCTGGAAACCCTGGGATGTATCTCGTGCCCTGTGGGATGCGGGGACACCAAGGGTCTGTCTGCAGTTCTTCTGCCTGCAGAACCAAGGAAATCCCAATGGGAAAGGGAGCTTGGGGCACCCAGAGGCACTGACCACACTGATCAGGGTGGGAAAAATGTGTCCTTGGATTTCCAGGGTGGAATCAGGGCCATGCTTGGTCCAGCCTTGGGTATTTGAGGTGCTCTGGCTTGTGGCACTGGATCCACCACAGGATCCCAGTATCAGGGAATGGTTTGGGTGGGAAGGGACCTCAAAGCCCACCCAGTACATGGCAGGTACACCTTCCACTGTCCCAGGCTGCTCCCAGCCCCAATGTCCAGCCTGGCCTTGGGCACTGCCAGGGATCCAGGGGCAGCCCCACCTGCTCTGGGCACCCTGTGCCAGGGCCTGCCCACCCTCCCAGGGAACAATTCCCAATATCCCATCCAGCTCTGCCCTGTGGAACTGGGAGCCATTTCCTGTGTTCTGTCCCTCCATCCCTTGCACCCAGTCCCTCTCCAGCTCTGTTCACTGCCATCTCTGTCCCTGCTGTGTCCCCATCGTGTCCCAGGGTCTCTGCCTGTGACAGTGTTCACAGGGGTCCCAGGATGAGGGAAGAGACGAGGCTCTGACTCCATGTTTCAGAAGGCTTGATTTATTATTTTATTATATATATTCTATTAAAACTTTATATATATTCTATTAAAACTAATCTAAAAGAATAGAGGAAAGGATTTCATCACAAGGCTAGCTAAGAATAGATAAAGAAGGAATGATAACAAAGGTTTGTGGCTCAGACTCTCTGTCCAAGCCAGCTGATTGTGATTGGCCATTAATTAGAAACAACCACTAGACCCATCACAGATGCACCTGTTGCATTCCACAGCAGCAGATAACCCTTGTTTACATTTTGTTCTTGGAGCCTCTCAGCTTCTCAGGAGGAAGAATCTTGAGGAAAGGATTTTTCATAAAAGCTGTCTGTGACAGCTGCCGGTCCCTGTGCAGGCAGGGAAGGGGCAATCCTGGTGTGCCGGACACAGAGTGGGTGAATTCCCCGAGCTGCAGCACTGGGACCATCCCGGAGTGGGATGAAGGAGGGGATGGAAGCTCAGGGCACCCTCTGTGCCAGGCAGGGAACCCCGGCAGCTCCAGAGGATCAGGGAACGTGGGCAGGGCACCCCAGGCACCCCGGGTGTCCCCAGCCAGGGGTCTGTGCACAAATCACCAACAGGACGGGGCTGCTGTGGAACTGCCTTGAGCTGTTTCATTTTCCAGCATCGGTCTCATTACATGGTGATGACAATGGGAAGATGCCGCCAGCTCACATCTCAGGCAGCAGACTAATAATTTAATGTTACAACTCACTTTATAAGTTTTTTGACCAATCACACAAAGCAAAAGCACATTGACAGTAGTTCTATCCAACCACTATAAGCACACGTACCTTTGGTTAAACAATGCTTGCTTACTTCAAGTACAATACCTGCTTGTAAGCCTTAAAACACAACACACAGAGCTCCATTATTGACCTTAAAACTTCCTAATATCTTGCTAGATAAACTTTTCTGCAGCTTAGAGAGTTATGCTAGACAAGTGTTAATACACAGACCATTGCTCTATTTGTTCTTACTTTTCTACTTTTTGCATAATTTTTCTGCTGACCAATCTCATGGCTGCTGCTTAGCTCTAATCACAATTCTACTGCCTCCAAGGCCTGCCTTTTGCAGCTTTCCCAAAACCCTCTGATTTTGTGGATTCCCACCCCAGGCACTGCGGGTTAACCCGTGCCTGGCCGGGGCTGTCCCAGCTGTTCCTGAGTGCCCAGAGCAGTGTGACCCATTCCTCACCCTCTGGGGCTCTCAGGGCTGGGCTCAGTGGCCGCTGTCACCCTGGCGTGACAGTGACCAATAACCCTCCTCCCTCTATCACAAATCCTGTTCTGAACCCTCATTGAGGACATTGCCAACGTCCTCATTCTAACCTGAGATGGGGTTGTGGGGTAACTCTAAGAAGGGGTTTAGTCTTCAATCTTTGGCTAGTCCTTCTGGGCCTAATATTTTGTATCAGGAGAGGTCAGTTAGGTGGGGGGCAATGTTTTGTCCTCCGTTGAGGAAGTTGATTATGCTTAGGCGGTGGATTAAAGGGTTAAAGTACCTTAGGGATGTTGAAAAGTTTGTTTTGTGAGGATGAGTGTTTGGACTATTTTTGGTATTTCTAGGGCTAAAGCGATGCCTAGGGCTGTTCCAATCAGGGCAGTTATTTTAATGGACAGTGGTGTTGTTATTGCAGGGGTTTCTGTGGGGATGACGTCCCCCCGCTCCAGCGCTGCCATCCCCGCCGTGCCCGCGCTGCAGAGGGGCCGCAGTGCCACCCTCCGGCTCCGGGTGGGCAAAACTGCGCCGTGCCCGGGCACTGCTGGGGACACCGGGACACCGGGACACTCTGCGAGAGGAGGGAGCCAGGATGGGGCACTCCTGGGGGAGGGATGCGGGAAGCCTGACCTATTGGGGAAGATGAAACAGGAAAGCCTTACAAATATGATTGCCTGGCAAAAGATTTTGAGAATATGGAAACTATAAGCAAGATTGAAATGAAAGCAAGCTTTGAGATCCCTCAGTTACTGAACAACTGGAAAACAATGGTGTGGCCAGCTGAAGGTGATCCCCTTTTGATGGAACAACACCCTCTGCTTGCAGACAGGCCCAAGGGTCAGAGCAGACCCTGCCAGCTTGGCAGGAGGGGCCCAAAGAGGAGTTTTTAGGGTTTAAAATGTAACCTAGTGTGGTAATGTAATGATTCTTATAGGCTGTATGTAAATGCTATAGGATTTGTGTCTTGTACTAGATTGGTTAGTGAGAATCAGAATATTCCACACAGAAAATGATTTATTGTATTGGAACGGGAACTTTGCTCACTTACTTTCTATACTCTTACTCTTGCCTCTTAGCTCTTGCCTTTTACTGTCTTACCCCTTTTACTCTCTCACCCTCTCACCCTCTCTGCCCCTCTCTTCTCTCAGCCTGCTCTGAGCTGTGTTTGGCAGCTCCCAGCAGGGCCCTGCACCCAGGCCCTTTGCAATAAACCCCAAATTCCTGACCTGGCTGCAGAGATCTCTCATCTCCATCCATCCTGACCGTCCTAACGCCATCAATCCTACACTGATCCTGCTCTGCCTGGGCTCAGCCCTCCCAAACACACCCTCAGCATCCTTAGAGTGGAAAAATCTGTGAGATTGTGACAATCTTCGGAAGAAATTCCTCCTTGTGAGCATGGGCAGGCCCAGGCACAGGAGCCCTGGTTCCCTGGCAGTGTCCAAGGCCAGGCTGGACGGGGTTGAGAGCAGTCTGCGATAGTGGAAGGTGTCCCTGCCCATGAGATTTAAGGTCTCTTTCAACACTTTAAGATCCTTTTCCATGATCTCTTGCAGCTGTAGGGCATGGTCGGTGCTGGGAGCCTTTGGAGAACCTTTCCTGCAGGCTGAGGGGACTGATTCCCAGTCCCCTCCTAGAGCCACCCTGGGCTCCTGTCCTGCAGGGGCTTGAAAGCCCAGCCAACCCCAGAGGGTCATTTGGGGGAATTTATCACCCCAAAACCCCATCTGCAGCTGGAAATGGGTGCAAATCCAGAGATTTTTAAAGTTTAATGGATACAGGCTTTCCCCCTGAGCATCCCCAGTCCTGCTCAGTCTGCTGCTGTCTCATCCCATCCTCACTAATGATGGAGAGGGTTCTCTTCACCTCTGGTCCCTTCCTGGCTGCTGCAGACAGGGATTCATTGACAGCTCCTGAGCTCCTCTGGAGGGTTCCTGATGGTTCAGGGGTTTTTAATGGAACCTCTCCCATCTCACCCCAGATCAGCTCTGGGCCTCTGTTTCCCTCTCGGTGCCCTCCCAGACGGGATCTCTGGAGATCCAGCAGCTGGACAGGGGCCAGCAAGTGGGGTTTATTTAGGGAAGGACACGTGGCACCCAGGCAGGGTGAGAAGCAAGGCTGGGATCGGGTGGCTCCCGTCTCAGGAGCAGGGGAGAGGCCAGGAAGTTTAGAAAAAGGGCATTTGGGGCCTCTCTCGCTCCTGGAGGCACCATTTGGAGGGCAGGAGCTCAGCTGGGAGGGTGAAGGATGTTCATGGTGCTGGAACAGGCTGGGGGCACCCAGAGGGCACCCCAGGACCTTTGGGACAGCTCGTGGTGCCCCCACCTCGAGATCTTCCTCATCTTCCTCCTCCATCTCCTCTCTGCGAGCTTCAGCAGGCAGGGGAAAAGCAGAGATTGCCTGGGAGGTACCTCCAAGAATTCCATCATGGGCAGGGTTTTCATCCCTCAGTGCCCCCAGTCCCAAATCCTCTGGGTTTGTGGAGCAAAATGAGACACTGAAAAGTGAGGCTGGACTTGGAATGAGATTTTATTGGCAAAACCCTTCCTGATCCCCCAGGGACGGCAGGTGAGTCCCATTCCTCAGAGCAAAGGGCTGGCAGAGCTCTCCTGGCAAAGGAACATCTCCAGCTCACTCAACCCACAAGGGAGAAGGGGAAGACTTTTGGGAATGGGGAGGAACTGGGTCCCGAGGCCATTTGGGGAGTCTCTTGTAGAGGTTTGGGGTTTGGCCTCTCTCTGTGTCCTCCCCCCATCCCCAGGGGGCTCCTGGCTGTGTTTAGGAATCTTCCCAGACAGGAAATTATTTTGTAAACCAAGGAAAGGGGAAAACACCCATCAGTGAATCCCTTCAGTATCAGCACTGCTCCTTTTCCTTCAGTGCAAACAAAACCCACCAGCTGTCCTTGGGTGAAGGATTTCTGTGTTTCCTTCCCAGTTTCAGGCAGAAAAGTGCAGAATTTCCCTTCTCTTTGCCTGGAACTCTGCCCTAAAGCAGTGAGAGCTCTGGGGGTGAGGTGCTACCACAGGGTGCAAGATCCACCAGCACCGAGCATGCAGAGCCTCTCCCATGGTTGTTCCCAACACCCTCTGAGGGTGGCAGACCCAGAACTCCCAAAATCAGGGGGGTTTGGGTCTTTCTGGTTGTTCCCAACACCCTCTGAGGGTGTCAGACCCAGAACCTCAAAAATCAAGGGGGTTTGGGTCTTTCTGGTTGTTTCCTCTGAGGATGTCAAACCCAGAACCCCCAAAATCACAAGGAGTTGGGTCTTTCTGCTTGTTCCCAACACCCCCAAAATCAGAGCAGAGTTTGGGTCTTTCTGGTTGCTCCCTCTGAGGGTGTCAGACCCATAACCCCCAAAAACAGGGTGGTTGGGTCATTCTGGGGCTGCAGCCACGGAGCTGCTGCTCCAGCAGCCCCTCTCCTGTCCTGCTCATGCTGTGAAGTCCTGGGTGGCCAGGTTGAAGACGTTGCTCTCCATGGACCTTTGCCAGGTGCCCCAGTTCCTCCTGATCTCAGCCTGGACCTGCACCAGCGTGGGCAGTGCTGGCACCCAGGGACGCCAGACAGCACCCAACAGAGGGGACTGGGGGGCAAGGGGAGGGGGAACTGTCCCTGCCCACCCCAGCTTTGGGGCACCCTTGGGGTGTCCCCATGCCTGCTGTGGTGCCCGGGGTTGGGGTAAGGGGACACACACTCACCTCCCCATTGAGGAAACAGTAGAGCAGAGCCACCAGGAAGCCCTGGAGAGGACAGGCAGAGCAATTTGCACCCAGGGGAAGGGGCTGGACCCCTCTGTGCTCATCTTCTCCCTGCCCTTACCTCCTTCCACTGGAGAATCAGTGCCAGGTTCTCCAGGCCCTGCCCCAGGTGTTTGGGGGCACCCTCCCCCAAAAGAGGCCAAACCCCCGAGTTCCAGAGGCTCCTGGTGTGATTTGGGATGGGGCCATGGGCCTTTCCCTGCCCTTCTCACCTGGTAGGAGCCCAGCACCAGCTCGAAGTACAGCCGGGCATCCACGCCCACGTGCTCGGGGAAGAGCGCGAACACCACGTAGTGCACCCCGAAGAGGGGGATGAGCAGCAGCGTGGACTTGGTCAGCCTCCTGTGGAGAGGGACAGGGGGCTGGGGGCTCCTGATGCCCCCTCAGACCTCCCCAAAACCTTGGAGAGGTTCTGTGTGAGGGGCAGTTCTTGGAGACTCCAGGGCTGTGCTCTGTACTCCTCCAGGAGGGTCTCTCTGCCCTGGGACCCCGGGGTGGGCACAGCCTTGTCCCCATTCCAGACCCCCGGGTGGCACAGCCCTGTCCCCATCCCACACCCAAGGGTGGGCACAGCCCTGCCCCCTCACATGTACTGCTGCTTGTGGGTTCTGCTGAGGTCCGGACACCGGATCTTCTGTGCCAACATCCTGGTGACGTTGAGGAAGATGAGGAAGTTCACCTGTCCCAGGAGGGAGGCCACGTCTCAGGCCCTGCACAGCCCCTGGATGGGTCCCCTGGCAGTGTGGGACCCTGGCTCTGGAGTGGGACTCTCAGGAACCACACTCACAAATATGGCCAGGAGGATGGGAGCCTTGATCACCCACCAGTACACACTGGAGTAGTCATCCCAGCACCTATGGGACAGCAGAGGTGGCTCTGGCACCCACGGGGACCCACATAGCCCAGCTGTCCCCTTGCCATTTCTTTGGCCAGACCCCTGACCCCTTTGCACCCCTCTTGCCACAGGACCCACCAGAAAACAGAAATAACACTGAAATGAAGGCTGGCCCAGTCCTCCCCTCCTGAGCATCCATCCCATGCCAGAGGTTCATTTCCCAGCCCTTGGACTGGGATACGTGGCTGGGGTGGCCTAGTCAAGGCCAAGGGACAGTTTGACAACCAGAAAGACCCAACCCCTCCTGCTCTTACCCGTGGTTGTCATACTGGAGCCTGGTGAGAACCCACACCCCGACTGTGACCATGGGGACACCTGCAAGGACAGGACACAGGCAGGGATGGCCACTCCAGTGCTCTGGGAAGCCCCCGTGCCACCCCTCTGTCCCTTGTCCCCAGAAACACTTGTCCAGCTCAGTTCTGGATGTGGCAGGAAGGTGACAACCGTCCCACCTTCTCCAGGAGAAGGAAGTGGTGGTGCCGTGTCTGTGTCACTCTCCTGTCCCCATGCTCTTCCATCACACCCAGACACCTGGGATGGGCATTCCCAGCCCCAGGTGGGTGTGGGAAGAAAGGAGGAGCTGTCCTGATGAGGCCACGCTTCCAGCAGCTCTGGGCTCTGGCAGGAGCAGGTGGGTGCCCACCAAGGCCATGCAGGAGATGTTGGGGTGGGGAGATGCTGGACTCTGGCCAGGTGGGTCTCGGATCAGGCCATTCCCAGGTGGTTCCTGCCCAGGGATGTCTGGGATGTCCCCAGGCTCACCCCAGCCCATGAGGACGTAGCCCCAGGTGTAGCTCCTGTCGCAGGTGAAGGTGAGCAGCAGCAGCGTCTGCAGGTACAGCCCCTCCACCAGCAGCCAGTAGAAGTTGGCCAGCACTGAGTACTGGAAGAAGGCGATGGCAGCCTTGCAGGTCACCTGCCAGCGGAGGAGGGGACGGCTCAGGGTGCAGCCCAGGGGACTGTCACCCTCCTGTCCACCCTCTCGAGGACACCTGTGATGACCTTTCAGTGATGGCCTTTCAGTGCAGCCTCAGGGACTCTGCCCCAGCCCCTCACACCTCCTGCACCAGGTTCTGCTCTGCCTGTGCCCCATGGGCAGGTGACCAAGGGCTGGATCTTTAAAATCCCCATGGTTGTGTCTGTGGTGTTCTCAGTGCTGTGTCTTTGCTCAGGGGTTCCTGTTTTGATTGAAAAGCTCAGATCTGAGCAGTACCTGGTGCTGGTGGGGCTGTGCTGAGCTTTAGCCCCACTGGGGACACCCAGCCTGAGGCCAGAGCAGTTCTGAGCACAGAACATGTTCTGTGCATAGATGGAAATGCAGAAGTGCCGAACATGCCCAGGGCCACCCAGGACAAAATTTCCTCCATCCCACAGCCTCTCTGTCCTCTCTGCAGTGACAAATCCCCCCAGGTGCCACCAGCCCCCTCCCAAGGAGCCCCTGCTGCTCTGCCTGCCATGCTCCAGGGCTGGGGTTTGGAGCACTTTGGGATTTACCGTGGACATTGTGCAGTGGTCAATGGACTCATCCGAGAAGAGCACTCTGTCCTTGATGAACACGGCCGTGCCCCGCAGGATGAAGGAGGTGAAGAAGTGGATGTGGATGGAATTCCTGGTGCAGTGCAGCTTCCTGCAGGAGGGAGAGTTGGGTTGGGCCCAAACACAGGCAGAGAAGGTGCTTTGTTTTCCCCTTCCCTGGGATCACTGCTGGTGATGGTCACAAAGCTCTGGAGAAGCTTTCCTGCTCTAAAATCAGGAAGGGCAGGGTTGTGCTGTGTACCATTCACATCCTCTGGAAAAGTTCCTTCACCCAGGATTTTAATCCTGGGAAGCTGAGAAGCCTCAGAGAAAAGGAAAACAATTCTTATCTCATTTGCTTCTCCTGTGTTGTGCTCATGTGGAATGTGTTTGAAGATTGTTTACCCACAGGTGATTGTTCCATTGGATTCTGCTGTGAGTTGTTTTCACTCTTTGGCCAATCAAGGCCAAGCTGTGTCAGACTCTGGAGAGAGTCACAGATTTTCATTATTATCTTTTTAGCATTGTGTAAGTGTCCTTTCTATATTCTTTAGTATAGTATAGTAATATAGTATAATAATATATATATTATTTAATATATATGAACATAATATTATTATATTATTTAATAATATATATTATCATAGTATAATAATATAATATAATTTAAAATAATATAGTATAATAAAGTAATAAATTTGCCTTCTGAGAACATGGAGTCAGAGGCATCATTCCTGCCTTTGTTGGGACATTTCCCAGCAAATACAATAGTGCTGTGCTTGGGGCTGCTCAAGGACCTTAAGGGAACATCCCAGAAACCTCTGGAGAGCCCAAACCTGCAGCACAGAGACATCTGCAAAACCAGAACCCAAGAGGGCCACCAGGGAAGGACAAGACTGCCATTCCTCTCCTGCATTCCCAGTTTTCCTGTGGGCAGGGATGGGTTCTGGCTGCTCCAGGAGGGGCCAGGCTGGGGGCAGCCGTTCCTGCTGGGATTTGTCCTGTGTCCCTCCAGCCCTGGAGCAGCTCCCAGCCCTACCTGAAGCAGCAGAAGATGCCGATGGCCAGGAGCAGCGCTGCCAGCGACGTGGAGTAGCCACAGGTGTAGAGCACCTTCATGGTGACAAAGTGGCCTCTCTGCAAGGGACAGCACAGTGGAGGGAGGGGACAGGGACTGGGAAGGGCTGGTGTGGGGCGAGCAGGGACAGACAGGAGTGATGGGATAGCCCAGGAGCATCTCCATGGTTCTTTGGCCATGGGGCAGTGTGGGGACACAGGGACATGGGGAAGTGGGGACATGGGGAAGTGGGGACACAGAGCCATGGGGACATGGGGAAATGGAGACATGGGGCCATAGGGACATGGGGAAATGGGGCCATGGGGACACAGGGACATGGGGAAATGAGGCAGTGTGGGGCCATGGGGACGTGGGGCCACGGGGACATGGAGACGTGGGGCCATGGGGCAGTGTGGAGACATGGGGCCATAGGGACATGGGGAAGTGGGGACCTGGGGAAATGGGGACATGGGGACACAGGGACATGGGGCAGTGTGGGGACATGGGGAAATGGGGACAAAGAGCCATGGGGCCATGGGGCAGTGTGGGGACATGGGGGCATAGGGACATAGAGCTATGGGGACATGAGGAAATGGAGACATGGGGCCTTGGGGACATTGGGAAATGGGGACACTGAGCCATGGGGACAATGGGGACGCTGAGACACGGGGACATGGGGAAATGGGGCCATGGAGCCATGTGGGGACACGGGGACATGGGGGAATGGGGACATGTGGCCATGGGGACATGGGAACACAGGGCCATGTGGGGACACGGGGCCATGGGACCATGAGGCCATAGGGCAGTGTGGGGACATGGAGAAATGGGGCCATGGGGCAGTGTGGGGCCATGGGGACAGATCCCCACAGCCCCAGGGGTCCCACGTGCCTTGGCCTCGGTGTCATTGCTGCTGCCCAGGGTCTCCAGCTGGCAGGCGCTGTGGTAGGGGGGGCTGGGGGGGCTCCAGCCCCACTCGGTGCAGTTCCTCTGGATCAGCCCTGCAGGACAAGGGGGGACCTCAGGGAAGCCACGGGTGTCACCTCTGATGGCACCCCCAAAATGCCCAGCCTGGAACAGACAGAGACAGCAGCGTGGTACCCATGGGCTGTCCCATCCCTCCTGGATCCCATTGCTGCTTCTGGACCCTATCACTGCCCCATCCCTCCCAGACCCCATCCCTCCCTCCCAAATCCCATTGCTACCCCATCCCTTCTGGATCCCATGGCCCCATGCCTGGAGCTGCCAAGAAAGCTTTGGACAGGGTGTGAAAACAGGCACAGATCCCTCCAGGGGAAGGGAATTGGGAATTAAGGCTGTAAAAGTGCTCAGTCATCCTGTGAGGGCTCTATTGAGCCTCTCCTGAGCTGTTTCTGCCCCAAAGCAAACATTTCCCAACATTTCCCGAATTACTCCTGTCTGAAGAAGTGCTGGAATGTTCCAGTGGGAGCTCTGGAGCCTGCTCAGGAGCCCTGGGATGGGAAAGGAGGGCAGTGAGGGGACTGTCTTGGTATCACCAGGATGGAGGATGAGGTCCCCAAGAGCTCCACCCACACAGGGATTAAAGGATTTGGATCCCTGAATCTCTGTTTTCCTGTCGCTGCTGGGGCTGCAGTTTCCACCGAGGATATTTTGGGACAGCCAGGAGCTGTGGGGTCAGAGGGAAGGGCTGGGGTGGCTCTGGGGGCCCTTGCAGGGCAGGTGGGGCCGTGGGATGAGCGATCCCCGCTGGATTCAAACCTTTGGACTTCTTGAAGACGCTCAGGATCTCGGGGCAGGCGACAGCTCGGGACTGGCCCAGGGGCAGGGCTGGCCAGCAGCTGAGCCCGTCCCACTCGGTGGGGCAGCCTGGGGAGGGAGAGGACACCAGGGCAGGGAATCCCTGCTGTGCCTCAGTTTCCCTGCTGGTGCCATCAGCCT